GTTCCATGAATCAAGCAGAGCTTGGCATTTTGGCACTGAAACCACGCTGCACTTTCACGCAGCAATCATCACAAAGAGGTAAGAACACTACAGTGAGGTCAAAACTTTGTGGTGCAACTTAATGGTAAATATTTCCTAAATTATTGAACATAAACTTTCCAGCTTTCACACAATGAGCTTGTAATTTATCTTAACAGGTCAATATTTTTATAAACACCTTTTAGCTGTATATTCTAAAAAATTCCCTAAAAAATACTAATAAAAAATTCAAGTGGGTGGATACCAGATTTTATAAGGTTTACTGCTAGGGTAATCACTTTTAAAAGTAAGTCCATCATTTTTTTTTCTAATCTTGACATTGTGTTCATTGAACACATGAAATTTGAGAACCTTTAAGGCAAAAATGTGTTCACTATAAAACTAATTTTTTGTAACAAGTTTTGCCACCAAAGTCAAAAAGTGCCATTGGTTTGCAGTGATGTAGGCCATATGCAAAATGTGTGTGAGCAGTGGGAAGTGCTGTGCAGAATCCCATTTTCTATGTGACAGAGATGTGTAGCATTTTATATAAATTTGTGAAGAAAAGTTTTTAAATCTAGCCTCAACAGTTGTGGAAAAATATGAGTTAAAGGTAAAGACAAATTGATACAAAGTACAGTGCAAAGTATGGGTGACACTGATTCACACATTAAAGAGATATTTCAGGAAAAGTTGTGCCATGCACCTTTGCCCGCTGACAATAGTTGGCCCTATTCATTTCCAAGTCTAAGAGCTATATATAAGATCAGTATATAAAAACTTCTTTTACGTTCATTTACATATGAGGGGCTGAGATGCAAAAGCCGCCACATCCATTTTAACACTTTAGAAAAAATCAGCTTTTTTTAAAGCTGCTATACGCACAAACATGCGTAAAAAGAAGATTTTTTAATGGCTTTTGAACAAAGTAGGCCTTATGTGTTGGGTTTTGGCCGAAAACACTGTGCATCTGACAGCCAGTAACAATATGCATTTATAAGCAAAAAATCTCAATTTTTTCCAAAATGTCGCTTAGTGAGTTTTGCATCTCACCCCGTCAAGTATCATAAACAAGTCTCCTCCTCTGATACAGTGAATGCATAACTGTATGAAGTTTCCACACAGTACGAGCCTCCACACATTCTTAGATTATATTTTGTTTTGGTCTACTTCAGGTGAGTATTTACTTGACATTACTTGACATTAGTGCCCCAAAACATCTTTTTTACCGTACCTTTATAATTTTATACTCCCTAACAACATTCATTGTGAAAAGCACAGAATATAGAAGAAAAGGACAGAAAATCTACCTTACTTTTACACTTTTGAAATTATAATTTTTCTTATTACCATTTTATTTCTTCTCAAATGTTGTTCAGTCACATCCTATAAAGACTGTTAGTAGTGTTGGGGGGTTAAGTGAAAAACCTCTTTAGAGGAGTCCATCTGAAAACAGTATCGAAAAAGAGCAGTAAACCAATGAAAAAAAAATCCCCCAATTTTTTCTTCTATTCGATTTTGAGCAACCTCTTTCGACCGAAAACTTGACAACCGAAAAAAATCTGGCACGCCATCAGATTTCAGTTTAAGTGGACTGCATTGCGTACTCTTTCAATTTTATGGCATTTTTCCAATTTTTTAAAGAGCTTGAGGTACTCAGAAACTGGCTCCAAACCAACTCACAGGTTATGTTTTTTGTTTGTTTGCTGGGTTGTTTTTTTTAGTTTTTGTTGGGGGGGGGGGGGGGGTGCGAAGTAGTTCAACATTTCATTTCAGTTTAAAACTTCAGCCTCCTCACTTTCTACCCCCCTCCCCGCCCCCCCCCCAAAAAAATATTTAAAATTTAAACAATTAAAAAATTAGGCACATCTTAGAGTAAAATTACCGGTTCGGTCAAAATTAGGACGAATACAGGCACGTCGACTTTAAAACTTTATATCTCCTATCTCCCTTGCCCTAGAGACAAACCGAAACCAGCTACAGGAAGCCCTGTGATTGGATTACCCCAGGAATGACCTGTTTCAGCTTGTTCTCATATTTGAGGCCCTTACTGGGTGCAAAAGTGACGCCCGATTTATTTACGTGTTCAGTCACATTTTTTTGGTTTTCTCATGGATTCGGGCAGTATTTTGACATTCGGTCATTTTCAATTATTATCACATTTGTTTCTTTGCACGCTTAATAACATGATTTTTAATGTTTGTTATCAACACTTGGACACTATGATAGTTTATCTAAAGTGGTTTTCACCATTTATAGGTATTTTAATGAGTATGTATCTGACCCACTCTACTACGTGGTATCTGACTCTACTACACTGGCATCTGGGTCACTCAACTACACTGGTATCTGACTCTGCTACACTGATATCCGACTGTATTACACACTGGTATCTGACTCAACTACACTGGTGTCTGACTGAGCTAATATGCTGTATCTGACTCAACTATTATTTAAATTATGCACAAATTCTTTATTCTTTGTTATATAACCATTGGCTCTATATTATCTTATGTGCCCGAAGGATGAGAAACTACGGATTTTATGTTACAATAATAATAATAATAGATAGCATTTGTATAGCGCATATCCCCGCTCAGCAGCAGGCTCTATGCGCTTTACACTATATTATTACCCCAGCAGACCATAGAACACTCCGAAACATTCTCAGCTTCCCGGGAAGCATACAGTGCAAGCAGCCGATTAAGCGCTCAAACACTAACAAACTGACAAGATCTTTCGCTGTCTATAGCCGGGTACCCATTCCCACCTGGGTGAAGTGAGGAAAATTCGTGTAAAGTGCCTTTCCCAAGGACACAACGTCGGGCCCTTGATGGGATTCGAACCCACGACCTTACGGTTGCGAGTCCGAGAGCCTAACCACTAGGCCACCCACGCCCCAATCCGGGCACCCCCCCTTTGGGCAAAAACGGTGAGACAGAACTGCAAATTCTCTTTCATCCTTGACAGGGCCTCATATGCAAGTAACTCTCCAGCCTTCAGAGTTTACCAAAACGTAGAATCTAGGCCACAGGCTCTTTAATCCACAACAAATGTTAACTCTTCCGGGGAAAGAGCTTCACGCTGTTTTGCTCAGTTGATGAAGAAAAAGCTGTCTTAAGAACTATTTTTAGCAAAATATCGCCGTAACTGCTGTTTCAACGAAAGTAAGGGAGGTTACTTTAGGTTTGTGTGCCACTCTTTTGGGGTTAGATTTAAAAACAAAGTTTTAAACGATCTTTTTGTACTCCAGTGCCCGACAGCTAAAACATGCTGCCCGAACCGGTACGATTACTCATCCAGCGATCCAGACGATAAGGCCAATATGTCAGCCGCCTCATTGCAGCATGGTAGTAATGGTAGAAAACTTCATGTATTTTTTTGTTGGTTCTCAGTGGATGTATGTGCTGCAGAATGATCAACTTTGAGTGGAAATTAAGTCAGGAAAAGGGGTGTGATGATTGACGACAATGAGCCTACCAATGCTCTTAATTTTTTTTTTTTATTCTTGTTATTTTACATAATTATCATTACTATCAAAACCATATCAACAGATCTTGCTGGCTTTCTCTATAAATATGATTCAGTCAAATATTTCTTGGGTCTTGCGCCTATGCAGTGCCCACTGGGGGATCAGTTCTCTAACTCAAACCAATAGCTTCACTCGCTGCCTTGAAAACAAACACGTTTTTTTTTAGGGTCACCAGCGGCTTCGTTCAGTTTTTGCCACAATGATTGGTTTTCGTCCTCGATCTGGCTAGCCCCGAATCGAATCGAACATGCCAATGGGAACTGGGTATTACAGTCTGGCCCAGCAGCAAAAATACAAAACAGATAGGCCTACACGCTTTTGATCATAGAATGGTAAAAAGGGACATCTCATCATCTAAATTAACACTTTTTGGTTTCCTTTTTAAAGGAACAATTCACACAAGTACCGTGATGATACCAACAGCTTTTATAATGGCTAGAATCTATACTCCAAGATATTTTTGCAGGCGAGTTAGGTTTTAAAGTAGGCTATGGCTGCAACTGGTCTTTATAAACTCGAGACCTTATAGACATATGATCAATTCACGACATGGAAAGCCAGCATTGAGTGACCCGAGTATGAAGAATTTCTGGTGATTTTGTAGTTTCGTTCGTTAAAATCCAAAGCCGAACGTCAGAGACCTTGAATTGCCAGGTAGAATCTAGATCTAATCTAATCGTTGAGGAGAAAATATCCAAATTCAAGCAAAGAATGGCCCTTTTTCGGCAGTTCCCACCCCCAATTATTATTCGTTGTTGGTTTGGGCCTAAAGAGTCAAGAGTG